GTAGAGGCCCTGGCTGTCCCGGTCCTCGACCGCGTGCACCACCTCCTCGGGCATGCGCACGGCGAACGTCAGGTAGCGGCCCACCTGGCGCACCACGATGGTGGTGCCGATGTACTTGGCCTGGATCTCCACGTGCTGGCCCGACACCTTCTCCGTGATCCGCAGGCTATTGGCCCCGTGCTTGTCCCCGCCGTTCTTGGAGCCGTCGGCGAAGGCGGCCGGCAGCTCGTCCATCTCGGCCTGGTACACCTTCTGGTCCACGCACTCCTGGAAGTTCTTGAAGATGATGGTGAGCTGCGGGGAAGCGGGGAGAGAGAGGGGTCAGGCGGGGCCGGGGCTGCGGGGGACAAGGCTTAGCCCCGTGCTCACGATGCCCACGATGCTCTAAGATGGGGCGCGAGGAGCCCCGAGGACGCCCAGACCATCCTTTCCGCATTTTGGCCCCTAGTTCAGTACCACCTGCACGATTAACATTTTCCTTTAAAACAGTGGTTCTCAACCTTCCTAATGCCGTGACCCTTTCATACAGTTCCTCATGTGGTGACCGCAACCATAAAATCATTTTCGTGGCTACTTCGTAACTGTCATGTTGCTACTGTTATGAATCGTCATGTAAATATCTGATCTGCAGGATGTATTTTCAGGGGTCGCGACCCACAGGTTGAGAACCGCTGCTTTAAAACAACTTACTCTTTTTACTTTTAAAAACTGACGGAGGCCCTCGCTGGTTCGGCTCAGTGGATAGAGCGTGAACTTGAGGACTGAGGGTCCCAGGTTTGATTCTGGTCAAGGGCACATGCCCAGGTTGCGGGCTTCATCCCCAGTTTGGGGGGGCAAGCAGGAGGCAGCTGATCCATGATTCTCATCATTGATGTTTCTATCTCTCCTCCCTCTCCCTTCCTCTCTGAAACCAATTTAAAAAATATATTAAAAAATTGACTTAGAATGGGAACTTTAGATCATGACTCTAGAAAATCCCCCAGCTCATTAACTATATAGAAAGATGGACCACAAAAGGAAAAGCACAGCCAATTAAACACAAAAGGTCATTCATTATCTGCTGTAATTGGCTGAATAATGGCCCCCAAGATATCGGCCTCCTCCCTGCAGCCCATGAACGTGACCTTCCATGACAGAGCGCTTTGCAGAGGGATTAGGCTAAGGACTCTGAGATGGAGGTATTACCCTGGATGCCCTACGTGAGCCCCAAATGCAACCCCAAATATCCCCGTAAGGTGGGATCAGAGGAGATTTGACAACAGAAAGGCTACGTTTCCACGGAGGCAGGGACTCGTGTGATGCGGCCACAAGCCGGGGGATGCTGGCAGCCACCGAGGCTGGAAGAGACAGTGAACGCATTGACCCCTGGAGCCTCCAGAAAGACCGCCACCCAGCTGACACCCCGATGTTAGCCCTCGGAGACGCGTCCCAGACTCCTCGACCTCGGAACCGGAAGAGAACACAGGTCTGCCTATTAGAACCACTTATTGCGTGCTGTTTGTTACAGCAGCAAGAGCAAACTGACACGGTCCACAACCGTCCACCACCATCTCCCCGGCGGCCAGGGGGCCTCCAGCAGAATTCCTGAGGAAGAACGGCCAGCCACGGGCCGCACATAACAGCAGGTGGCACAGAAGAGACTGAGGGGGCGACATCCACTGAGGCAGGAGGACGCTGGCAGACACCACGTGGGCTGCCCGAAGGGGCCACTAAGCCGGGCCTTGGAGGGGGCAGGAGGCAGAGGAGGAGGAGGAAGGGGCAGGTGTGCAAAAACAAGACGCCGTCTCCAGGCTGAATGTGAGACCCTGGCCAGGGCTGCAGCCAGGAGGCCTGTTTCCACTAGAGCAGTGGTTCTCAACCTTCTGGCCCTTTAAATACCATAACATTATTTTCGTTGCTACTTCATCACTGTCATGTTGCTACTGTGATGAATCGTCATGTAAATATCTGATATGCAGGATGGTCTTAGGCGACCCCTGTGAAAGGGGCGTTTGACCGCCAAAGGGGTCGCGACCCACAGGTTGAGAACCACTGCACTAGAGCCTGCCTCGGGGGGCAGGGCTGGGCTGAGCCCCCCACGGGCTGTGTCAGTCACCGTCCTCCTGAGAATCAGGCACACGGGCACACTGGCCACATCAGTGTCCCGCGTGGCACGGCAGGGGAGGGTGACGTGACCGCCGATTTACAGACCAGGCAACGTGGGCTCAGAGAGGTAAAGCGACCTGCCCATGGTCACACAGCCAGCAAGCAGCACAGCTGGGATTGGACTCCTAGTTCCCAGTCCCTGTGCTTCTTGGGCCACAAGCCCACGGGGTGGGGGGCCTGGGAGAAAGAAGGATGGGAGACAAAGAGCTGGGGGAGTGAGTGTGGGTCCCCTGCCCTCTCTCCCCATCCTGGCAGCGACGTCTGGCTGCTCTTGCCTCTATACTCCTAACTAGGAGGATTGTGTGAGTTGGAGACAGCCTCTCTCGTCCCAGCTCCCAGGGTCAGCTGGTGCCTCTAAGGCCGCTGCCCCCCTGCCCCCGGGCACCTGGACCGCCGCGTCTCCAGGCACACGAGGGCGAGCTGGTGCTCTGTGGGTGCTGAAGGGTGATAAAGGGGGCCCCAGCCTCTCCCCCTGCTTCGAGCCCTCCTCATCGAACCGTTCGCAGCTGCTGCTGCTGCTCTACGTCCCTGGCCTGTAAAGCCGGCGACTTCATACGGTTCCACCTCCTGCAGCTTCCTTCCCTCCGTCCAGGGCTCCTGCAGGGGCCCGGAGGTGGGCCAGCCAGGGTGGTCTGGGCGGTGGGTGGCCCTGCCATCGGAGGATGGGGCTCGGGTGAGGGACTCTGGGGTCCCTGCCCCGTGTGTGGGGGCCACACAGACACTGGGGGGCGGGGCCGCCTTGCCAGGGCCACCGTCTCCCTGAACAGGAAAGGCTGGTTCTGCCTAACCGCCATCTCTCGCGGAGACAGTCTCCCGGAAGGCTGGCGGGCCGCCTGGCTCTTCTTGGCACCGGTGCCAGGGCCTCAACCACAAGTAACAGCATGAAGGGGGCCTGTTGAAAGCCGGGCGGCGCGCTGCCAACAGGGCCCGGGCGGGGCTGCCGCTCCTGCCTTTGCTGCCCCCCCTCCCGTTCCCCGACGGGCCTGGGCCCCCCCACCGCGCTGGGGACGGGGCAGAGCCCGGCTTCACCCACCGTTTATGTAACACCAACCATGCCAGGCCTGGTACCAGGGCTGTGCCCAAGGCCCGTCCTCGTGGAGCTCACATTTGGGGGGGTTCACAGACCAGGCAGACGAATTATGCAGCGTGGTAAGGGCGACGGGACACCAGCGAGGGGGAGAGGGGATGGGAGGCAGAGACCCAAGATCTTCCACTCTGTAAGCCTCAGTTTACTCACCTGTACAATGGGTGCTGCTAGCCCAGCTGGAAAGGAGGCCTGGGAGGCTCTCCCATGGGGTGGGAAATTGGCTAAAACAGCCCAGATTCTGATTATTCATAAGAACAGAAGGATGATGCGTATGGGCTGGATCACGCCGTCATGGGAATGAGCGAGGGCCCCTGGGCCCAGGCATCACGCTGAGGGCAGGCAGGAGGGGAGTAGGGTCACGTGAACAGGAGAGTCAGGCCGAGGGCTCCTGCCGGCCTGAAAGGCCCCGGGTGCCCCTCACTTTGGCGAGGAAAGCCCCCGGCTTTGCTTCCTCCCTGAGGCTCCGGGCCGCACCCACCTCGGCCTGGCTCTGCTGCTGCCCTTTCCCGTCCTGGGGGGTGCGCTCAGGGCACGGGTCGCAGGCCTTCCCGCCCCGGGGCCCTGCTCAGAGCCCTTGGCATCCTGCTACCCCAGCTCCGTTATCAGCCGGGAAGCTGGGGGAGGCGGGCCACCTCCAGCACAGAGGCCGGCACAAAAGACGTTCAGCTAATGTCTACTGAGTCAGTGAGCGAACCAACACCTCCGTCAGTGAGCCATGGAAGGCCTCCGAGAAGAGGCAGGGGCAGGCCACAGGCGCTGGGCCCAGCCACGATACCCCTACCTGTGACCACAGGCCCCGTCTGCCTGACATCCGAGTCTGTGTAGCTCCAACGCTGACCCTGTCCCTCCTGGGCCTCTAGCGGGACCGGTGCACCTCCTGCTGACGGGGACACAGCGAAAGCCGCCGAGCTCTCAGCCGGCTGCAAAGATCAAGGGGGCCCCCCCGTCACAGCAGAGGGGGGCTGGGCAGGCCAGCTTTGCATCAGGGCCCATGTCCTTCTGGAAACGGCTATAGGAAGGGAGGCACTCCCATCCTGTGCCCTGCAGCAGCGTGCACCACAGCTGCCATTGGGGAAAGGCTGCCACGTGACTGAGGGGGCGCAGGAATGAATGAGGAACCCACTTGGGATGGGACAGCATGGCTGGGCTCAGGGCCCCCGAGAGTCAGCAGAGAGTGGAGGGCGGTATCCGGGGCCCGGCACACACCCCGCTTGCGGACTCCCATTGTTTGTGGCCTAAGGGCTCTTGCTCCACCGTGTCACCCCTGTCACTGGGGGCAGCAGAGAAGGCGGGGGGTGGGGGGGTGTCTTGACTTGGCCCCCTTCGGCCCGCGGAGGGCTGGGAGGGGGACAGGGCAGAGAGCGCCGGCCACAACTGGGCCGCCACTTCCAAGGCCTGGCACCGAGGGCCTGCGAGGGCCTCCACGGGCAGAGACCCGCTTGTTTCCTACCCAGCGGTTGGTCTCAGAAACAGGCCCCCTGCGGGCACGTGAAGGCTGCTGGCACAGAGGGAAGTGGCAGGAATTTTGCCGGCTGCCGGTCACCTCACTGTCCTCTGGGACAGAGGGGCAGGAAGGGACAGGGGGGTAGGGGCAGCCTGGCGCCCTTGTGGGTCAGCCTGGCGCCCTTGCCACATGTTCTTCCTAGGAAAACAGAGCCACTGCCGACCTGGGAGCCCCAGGGGCCCTGGTGGACCCGGCCCTGAGGGTGCAGGCGTGTCCCCATCACCTGGACCCCGAGTCCACCAGCCTCCCTCTGGCTGAGTCTGGACGGGGGGCCACGGGACACCCTCCAGCCCTGAGTGCGGGGGGTGAGCCGCGGTGGACGGGGCTGTCTCGTGGCCTGGGCCACGGGTGTGCACACGTGAGCACACAGACACATGCTTGTGCGCACACGCACACACCAGAAACCAGGTCCCCTCCAGCGTTTACCCTTCCCACCAACAGTGACTTTGCAGGCTGCCCTCTGTGCGCGCCAGGTTACGCCCAGTGAAACCAATCATATACATCAGCGGTTCTCAACCTGTGGGTCGCGACCCCTTTGGGGGCCGAACGACCCTTTCACAGGGGTCGCCTAAGACCATCAGAAAACACATATATAATTACATATTGTTTTTGTGATTAGTCACTATGCTTTCATTACGTTCAATTTGTAACAATGAACTTGGGGGTCACCACAACATGAGGAACTGTATTAAAGGGCCGGGATATTAGGAACGTGGAGAACCGCTGATCTACAACTATTCACGTTTGATGGTTTCTGACCCCCGAAAGCTGATTTCACACCCCCCGAGTGGGGGTGGCCAGCAGTTTGAGAAACCCCGCACTCTAGGCAACAGTAAGGATCTCTAGAACATTCCTGTCTAAATCATCTGCTCATTTACTAAAAATAACGAGAACAGGGTGGGTGCAGGAGGCGTCTGG